TATCTGTGCATCGGTGATTGCCCCGCTATCCATGCCAAGTGGCGCAGCACAACCTGTTTGTATTGAAACAGGACAAGAAAGTGAAAGGTGTATCTTTTTACGAACAGTTAAAGTCTTCGTTTCATCGGAGCATGATACGTTTGTTCTCTAACCTTAAATTTTAAAAATTTAATAAATCGGAACGTTTCTCATCCGGCCCCCACGATGTTTTTTTAGTTATCAAAGAGTTTTATTGAAAGTCCATGATTGATATTTAAAGTTTCAGTTCCTTTTAAGGTTTTATTAAAACGATTCTACCGCGTCAACTGTTTCGGGCTATTGCCAGCAAGAGGTGTACCTGGACATCCGTAAATCTCCATTCTCATTGATATCCGGTCGTTCCAGGCAAGCGGTTTCAGTCGAATGTAACGAGTGGTTATTGGTGGGCTCAATATATTATAAACAACAGTATTTTGGTCTTGATTTCCATTGAACACCTAAAAAATAGACAAAAGAATAAAGAATTTGGATAAATTTCTTATCGCTGCTTTAGTTTGTTCAACCAACAGATTTTATGCAGACTTGAGGTGTTACTGGTTTACTAACTGATGAGCAGATAAATGTATGAATTCTGATGGGTGAATAGTGAGAGGGAACGAAAGATGGACGGTGGATCGGTGGATTGAGCGAATGGATGGTAAGGACGGATAGATAGAAGGATGGATAAAGGAAATAATGGAAGGATGTAGAGATGGATGGATCGAGCGATAGTATGGAATGGATTAATGGTTGGAGGATTAGATAGAGAGATAAATAGAAAACCTTATTTAACCCAGTAATTTTGATCAAAGTTTACAATATGCTGCACTTTTGTTCTTCCCAAAAGCCATGAACTAAAAAATTACGACTAAGCTTTTAAACCATTAAGAAATTTACATTGGTAAATGTAAATGATAGTTTTAATTTTCTATAGAAAGAGTTAAGACACCATCTTACAAATAAAGCGTTTCACTAAAAATAAATAGAGAGATTGAGAGAATCTAATTTTTTTCTTTAAAGCTTAAATGTATTTTTCACGTTTCACTTCGTTTGAGGACGCATTCCAAACTTTTGTCCTAATGTAAGCAGAACTGTTCCGCTAGTAGTCTGTTTTAACAACCGATAAAGCTAGATTTCTACCGAAGGTTCTTAGATTAAACACTGATGTCCCAAATACTACTCGAAAAGATATCTTCTAACTAAGCCGGGGTCATACATAAAGTTTCTCTGTGAAGTGACCACAGACGTTAT